TGGCCAACACTTTGATAGCACTCAAGACTTTATAATGATATGACATTCCATTTTGGAGGAGCAGTTGGTCGAAAGGAGTTCGTGCTATCGTCTTACCTGAAACCAAAGCAGGTTTGCTAGCCACTGAAGACGGTTGTATTACGCCAAGAAGTCCTCGGCTCAACTCCTGCGTCCACGGTGAATCTGGGCTAATTTTTCGGCTGTACTGTGACAGGTATCATCAGAGCAAGAATCCACACTTTAAGAAAGAGAGCATAAATATGCTAAACCAGGAAATCAGTAATATGAAATGTATTCACCCTATTTCGTCTAAGGTGATGAAGGACTGGTAGTAGAATTTTCCCACAATGATATGAGTTGAGCTGACGTTTCCATTAACACCAGCTCAACTCATATCATTGTGGGAAAATTCTATTATCAGTCCTTCATCACCTTAGACGAAATAGGGTGTATAAATCTCATGGTATATTTTTGCTCTATTTTGTAAAGTATAGATTCTTGCTTTGATGATGTCTTTCACAGTACAGACGAAAGCTTGGCACAGGTTTATCGGTGTGACAAGGCGGTGAGCCGAGGATTTCTTAGCACAATTCAACAGTTTTCTCTATTCAGCAATCCTCCGGTTTCCGGTGAGACCAAACCACCATTTCCTTCCAACCAAGTTTTACTTCGAACTGGAAAGTCATGTCACAATATATCAGTAAGAGATTCTTTGAAACAGATTTTCTTCATAACTCAAGACTATAACTTTGATATTTTTCGTATGTGTAGAGTTTGAGATATTATTTCAATAAATTCAATACAAAGGAAATCGATTTAAACGCTTAGTTTGGGTGAGATCACATTCTGGTCAGGTCGTTCACATGTCGATACTTTATTGCATAACCCATTCTAGTTAGGTCGGTTTGGTTGTCAAGACCCCACATAGTGGAATCCTATGCACAATTTTATGTTCCTGCACTGAATAAAATGCGAGTTTTCCTTAATAACCAGAATTGTATCGAGAGATTGGTGGGTTGACTAAACAAACTAAATACTGTATTGCGTACACGTTTAGTGTGTGTATGGCTGTCCTAGTAGGATAAAGGAGAGAAGGGAGAAGGCTAACGTTCTACTGTTAACGATAGCTTCTCCCGTTGACCACTGTCTTGGCACGAATCGGGTTCTCTCGGAAAGCTACAAAAGTGGAACCTAAAGACATATCTGCTTGTCTGTAAATCCGGTACAGCCAGGGTGATGGTGGCCTGACCCTCTTCGTCTTGCCTCCTGTCGTCGTAGCCATGATACCTCCTGGCTAAAGGGAAAAGTTGGAGAGGACATAAAACGTAGGCTAACAAAGATATCGTGGCAATCGTTTCAGTGATGATCGTCCGGCCACACGTCAACTGGGAATAAAGGCCTTGACACACTCACGCGTACACCTAGCATTTTTTGGAGGAAAGATGCCAATAAACTTTCTACTGACTGACAGGAATACTTATGCCATTGTCTGACCGAACAAGCCATGAAGCCATCATCTTCAGAAAAGACTCGCTTGTGTCCACTAAATGTTGACGGTTTAACTGCTTAGCCAAGAAGAACAGAATGAACTGTTGGCCGCGACATCGGCCCATACAAGAGAAATCAGAATGCTCGAGAGGCAATGGAGCTGAGAGACCGCCGCTCAATTGAGATTTCCTGATCATTCCAAAAGGGCGAAAATACTCAATCTTCCTCTCATACTCGAAATTGTGTCATAACTTTGAGTTTACAATTTTACTTATTTTTCCCTCGTTAATTTTTTCACTTATATTTTTAAACGCTCGCGAATTTGGAGCAACTAAACCCACCCGGAATCCGTCTTATCTCCACCGGTCGTCATTCCCTAAGATGACAATGTTATTTTCAGTGAATACAATTAGAAATGATCGTCGAGTGCTGGTCTCCACTTCATATGAGAGCCCACAGAATATGCAACGAACTAGCCCTAATTTAAGAGTAACTTTTACCTCGTTTGAAGTGGGTTGCCTTGGAATTATGACTTTATATTTGTGCAAGTCCTTAGCTTACCGTCCCCCGACTCAGATGAATTATTGCTGAGCTTTTATCCGTCATATAGCGGAAATCATCAGAGCAATAGACTATGTTTTACGATAATTCACCAAACACAAATATTCATATATGATCTATTGGTAGTCTCGAAAGCTTGCTTGAAAAACAAAAAATATAGGGAATTGAGGTTGTATC